AACTGAATAAACTACTGTCAATCTGTCTCCAAATGTTCTGCAGATTGCCTAGTCTTTCACTCTCAGCACAGATACAATTTTGCAAAGTTTTTTTTTTTTTTTAGTAGCAGGAATGTGCCTTGTATGTGGAAATAACTATCTCTGCCTGTGTCTGTGAAGACCGTTTTGTGTATAAATAAATACATTAAACATGTTTTATGAAAGAAAGCCTGATAAGCGCCAATGCATTCAGCAGTGCAAAATCCAAGTTTAGAACAACACAGGAAATAACAGTGCATTTAGTCTGATCTAATTACAATGAAATTCCTTTGAAAAAGAATGTGACAGACTAATGCCATTTCATTCTAATCAGTTGACATATGCGCATGCAGGACAGATTCCAATCAGTGTTTATGAAATGTTAAATGAATTAACAGGATACTTATTCAGTGCTACTTTTAAAAAGTACTGGTGTTATAAATAGCCTATAAGGGATCATTGTTACTTTCTATGAAAATCCAAATATCAAATCCTGAGATCAGAGTCTGCTCTAGACACAGGCAAGATAGGCAGTTGCTAGGATGGCCGATTTCAGGACCTCCCCTGGTTCCTTCCAGGAGTGGTGGCAGGTGATGAGGCTGGCGGGGCTGCCAGTTGGGGCTCCTAGGGGCAGGAAGCGGACCCCAGTCGGGCTGCTGAGGAAATGCTCTCATCCCTAGCCGCTCCCCACCTCTAGTGCAGGTATGATTGTGGCTGCAGATGCAACTCAGGCACTGAGTGGCTCTGAACTACTCCTGGCAGCACTGCCCAAAGCAGTGACTTGCCTGGCTCCACGTCAGCACCCAGCCCACATCTGCTGCTCAGCGCCCAACCTCTGCAGACCCTGGTGCCTGGGCAGCTCTCAGCACCTGCCCTGGCTGCTAATCTGGACTCACACTGCGATGGCCCTGTACTACAAGCCTGACTGAAGAGCTCATCTAGAATGGTATGAGTGGCCTGGGGCTTGCTGGGGACCAGGCAGGGGTGCAGGCTTTGGGGTGAGAAGTGCAGGGGGGCCTGGGTTGAGCTGTGTGGCTCTTGGAAAAGAACTGAAGTGTGGGTCAGGAGTCCCTGGCCCGGGAGGGATGGAGGAGGCTGAGGAAGCATTACAGGAGGCGGATGGGGAGTGGGTCACTGGCCCAGGGGGTGAAGAACATCAGGGAAGACGTGTGGGGGGAAGATAGGGAGCAGGTCCATGGCTCCTGGGGGGTGGATCCCTGCCACAAACTTCTAAGCAATTAGGAGGAAGGTGGCACACTGAAATTTTGCATAGGGCGGCCTCTGCCTGAGCTATTAAAGCGCAGAACAAAGGCTAATCTGGTGGTATAGAGAATTACAGATTAATTTTCCATTCAGCAAGTCATCATGCAGTCATGCCTCTGAAACTGCTCTTCACTTCTTCTCTTTCCATAGGAAGCCCACATGCCATCAGGAAATTCTTACGTGTTTAATCAAACCGTGTTTAGAAACATACAATTTATTCTTAAGAAAATAAGTACCATATATGGTTACATCAGAGCAAAGCATAGAGAATGTTGGGTGGATTCTTATGTATTCAGACTTCTAGATGCTCTTAAATTGCTGGATTAAAAGTTTTTTTAAAAAGCCACTATAGCTTAAGTTTCCCACACTACCTCACTGACCTTCACATCTGAGAACTGCAAAGTCCAACATAAATACTAGTAATCTGGTTAGGATCTGAAACTGCAGTACGTGCACTGGGGACTTCCACATTTCTAGACATTGAACAGAACAGAGTGAAAAATGGCAAAATCCTGTTTCTCAGAAGACTGCATTTCCAGGACAAACTGCAACACCTGACAGGCTGCTAGAACAGGACTTGAAAACTGGACTAAACCTTCTAGACAGACTGAAACATACCTGCACTTCTGCATGCACAAAACACATGTTCCCTGCAATTGACAGTACTACTACAGCTGTGCCTGAGTAATGTACTTACAGTAACATATTGCCAATTATCTTTTTCTTTAATACATTTTAAAGTGCTACTTCTTACTGTGTCTCTCGATTTGTTATATATTCTTTCCCCTTCTGCTTTCACCCCTCTTTTTCTCTTTCCTATCATAGCTCAGGATTAATCTTTTTCCTGAAGAGTCATCTGCTCCCCTTCCATTTCCCTCCTCCCCTTATGTACCTTCCTCATTCTTTTGCTACATCGTGCTCTCTAATTCCTCCGCCACTTTTTCCTCTCACCCCTCCTCTTCACACAGACATCTGCACCCATCTACAGAGCTGACAGGTGTTCTGTATCTCATGGGACACACTCATTTGGCAACACTGTCACACCTACCCATAGCTCTGTAGGCAGGAGTTGCAGTTGTGCCTTCTGACCTCCATGTCACCTGCTGAGCAGGTAGGCTTCACTCTCACTGTTCCCCCTGCTGGATCCCAGCTGAAGGAAGGAGCATTGGCACCAGCAACACAAGGTGAGAGGCCCAGCTGGCATCAAGCTCTCTTATTTTGTCCCTACAACTGCCCACATCCAGCTCCACCAGGCTTCTCACGAGCAAACATCTCCACACCCATCAGAAGACACACCCTAAATTCCCCAGCAGCAGCAATCACCCCCAGTAACCAATCAGCCAACACCAATTCCTCCCCTGCATCTTCCCCCAGCGACCAGCCAGTCCCAGCAGCCCCATCAATCAAAAACCCCTCCAGGCACCTCCATACTGCTTTCAGCTCTGCTGCCCACCCAGCTGCCCCTAAGATAGCCACCAGCTGCCCTCAGTCACCCCCACTTTCTACTATCAAGATTTTGGCCAACTCCTGGGCCTACTCCTACCACTGTTTAGGGAGAACATGTGTATCATAAACTGAAGTTTATGGATATATGCAAATTAGCTCATGAACTAATTTGCATAACATGCCACATGGAGCTGTGCAACGCATAGCAGCTATGCATCTTCATACCTATCCATATTCACAGCCACTCTCACATAAGCTCATCCATTTACCTCCACAACCACACCTGCTACTCATAGGCTCCCCAGCTTCCCTCTCCCCTCCTATAACTGCTCCATAGCTCTCCCCTCCCCTTCTCTTAAAGGTGTAGTGGTTCAGGGCTACACTATTCCCTTGCTATATCAGAAAGGAGCAAGCAGTACCTGGGTCTTTCTGCTCAACAGCCCCCTGTGCCTACTCCAAGTTTCAACTTGCCCCAGTCAAGAGGGATTTTACAAGCCCTGCGCTAGGTTTGGTAGAAAACATTTTCACCTATGGGCACAAAGAATTTCGTCCATAAACCAGGATGTTAAGAAGATAAGTGAACAATGTGTACTAATCTCTACAATTCCCATCCACAACATACATGGCACCCATATGATTCGGCATATGAACTCAGTGCAATTACTCACCCCCATAGTTACTC